CGGTGCAAGTCGGCAATCACATAACTCGTTTGCGGTGTCTGAAAATCTCCGCAACTATGTTATTTTTTTAAAGGAGAACAAATGGACATGATTCCTTGAAGTTTTTGCAGAATTTTCCTCGCACATAGAAGAAAAATCACGGAAGTTTTAAAGAATTACCGTTGAGTAGTTTTCCGCTTAAAAAATAAAGTATGACAGGAAGTCTGCGACGTCGCAAACCGAGTTATGTGATTGCTGACTTTCACCGTCGATTTGGATCTTGTTTGGTAGAAAGGAACCAAGCCACATCAGCTATTGCCAAATTTAACTGGATAATTTTTTACAAGAGAACGTTTAAACGGATCTTTTGAAAATGTTAAGGAATTTCAAGGCAAAAAGTCAAGAATGATGACACGAAGTCCCACAACATCCTACAGTCTTGTAGGCGCTAGTATGCTTTTCACGCCAACTGACCGACTGCACTGCGTTTGGAGCATTGCGAGAAGTATTCATGCAGTCTTGTAGGCGTTTATATGGGCTTCACGCTGACCTTACTGTTTGGCGCAATGCGTGAAGTATTCCTAAGGTCTTACAGGCGCTAATATACTTTTAACGCTGGCCGCACTGTGTTGGCGCGATTATTCGCACTCGCTTTAGAATAATCGCGGCATCGAATAATATATAGCTTAAAAGGCCCATTTTGTGTTTCGACGCATTCCAAGTGAGCATTCCAACGTTGCCTCGTTTCTCCCGACTAACTATTTTTTCGAAAAAAGTTCGGAAAGTTCGTTATACCCACGATCATTATTCAAACCTTTTCGCTTCATTTATCATCAGAAGGAAAGACATCGATGACTTGTCAACAAACTAACCTAAACTAGCGTTAACATAAAAATGCGTTTATTTTCCAAATGTTTCTTGTTTTGCCAAACTTTTGTTGAGGTGTTCAGGTTTCCAAAACAGATGTTCAGGTTTCTATTCGCGCAATCCTTATATTTTCTTAGACCTTTCGCGCGATCCTGGATTACCAATTTTTTCAATGCGGAGGTAAGAGTTAAAGTCAATACATAAAGTCGAGTCTTTTTAAATAAAAGGCCGGTTTGTCATAGTGTCAGGGAAGAGAAGAGAGGAGGAGAGGTCCAGCAGTATAGGAGCTTAAAAATATTTTTCACGATGAATATTGATAACGCATCTAATAAAGGGGACGTGTTATACCTTAATTAGACCGTGTTTAGCAGGAAGGAACCAAGCCACATCAGTTATTGCCAAATTTAACCGGGAAATTTCATTTTTTATAAGAGAACGTTTAAACGGATTTTTTGAAAATGTTAAGGAATTTGCTTCGTACTATACAGAGAATTCACTGTTTGCACAAAAATCCTCACGACCGTTTTTATGTAAAAAAATGAAATTGCCAAATTAATTTTGGCAATAGCTGATGTGGCTTGATTCCTTTCTGCTAAAACGCGGTCCAGTTGAAGCGTTGGGTGCAAAAAGGGCATTTCTTGGTTGCGGTGTTTCAGAATCGCCACAGTTAACTTATATGTTAAAGAGGAAACTATTGGGTGCATTTTCTGAAGTTTTTCGTTTTCAGCATTGTAAAATCGTTAAGAAAATTCAGTGAAAGTTTCAACGAATTCCGTGCATTTGCTTCAGTCGTAATGGATGATACGTTAGCGGAGATTCTGAGATACGGCGATCAAGAAATTCCCCTCCTGCACTCAACGCTTAAATTTTCTTTCATTTTTTATTTTTTCCCCAGAGAATCAAACAGAATTTTGGCTTAACATTTTGCAAGTACACTCCTTATACTGTGATTAAAAATTCTGTGTGATTAAGCAGAATTTTTCTTTGAGAATTGTGCACTTAAACGACAAAAGTATTATTCCTTAAGGTCCATGGACAACCCGTTAATGTAGATTAAAGGAAATTCTACAAACCATCCTTAGATTACTAATTTTTTTGCAATTTCCAGGACCGGCAAAGTAATTGTCATACATTCAGACAATCAACGCCTTTTTCGTAAAATTGAATGTGCCGCGATGAAAATCAGTAAAAATTTATTTAATCGGTAGGTACTATAGGCAACGCGGGAATTAAGTGAAGAAGATAAACAAGAAAAACACCCTTAGTTAGTGGCGCATGCTACGGAGTACGAACATGTGACTAATTTTACTGTAACGCCTGGACGCATGCAACTATTTGGACTCCGTGGATGTCCGTGATGCATACGCGCGGAATTGCAGGCGTTTTGACTCTCCAGGCGCTCAGCGCTTCAACCACGGCGCAACGGAGCGCTGGCGGTTAGATTACTAACCGCCAGCGCGCCGGAAGATCCATGAAGACAGAACGCCTTAAATTCTTCGTGTGTACCACGAATGCACCTCTTCGGCACGAATATTTGCTCTGCAAGAAAATTTTCGTTCGTCAATTTTTAATGAAATCCGTAAACAGTTGTCCTGCGCGTTAACGAAGTTGGTATTTTCATCAACCAATCAGAGCCCAGTGGCCTGTTTACGGGACTATTGATGGGTTTCACTCTCTAACCAGAAACGTCAAAACAGTTCGATAACGTGGTTCGGAGCACGCGTTTACGAAACTGTAAACTGTTGACGAAAATTAAATCACACTTAATTACGGGCGATTTGACGGGAAAGGCTAGGCCACGCCCATTTAATCACAACCGTAGACCGAAAATTTGTTTTAATGCTGTATTTTGTAAACTGTACTTACGGATTTTGTTAAAAGTTAACGAACGATAATTTTCTTTACAACTCATGCTCAGCACAGCATAGCATTCGTGTTTCGTGAACGTGAAAAGTCGTGAGATATTTAATACAATTTCAATTTTTCCCGCCCCCTGATCAACGAGAGTTTCACCTATCCCGTGTTTTCCCGCCTCCTGATCAACGAGATTCTCACCAATCCAGTGCTTTCCCGCCTCCTGGTCATAACGAGAGATTTACCAATCGCGTACTTTCCCGCCCTTAACGCTGATTGGCAGTTGCATTGACGGGAGGCGCTCGGCGGGAAATCTGAGAATTTCAATGTAAATGTGTCACTGGTAACATTATGGCCATCCAATTTCGCGGAAATTCATGAACTTGAACTTGTAATCATTTTGAGGTCTTCCCTCGCGGAAATTATAGCCCCTTAGGTCGGGGTATCGCGCAACTTGTCCTGAATATTTGAATTGAGCCAAAGAGCGCGGGCTATCATGTACACCACAGTACGAAGCACAATGCACGGCATTTCTGCAGATTGATAAATATCTCGCTCGTTTTTCTCAGAGGTAAACTCAGTCCATTCATCCATTGTATTAATACCTGTTTTATAAATTTTAATGATAAATTATTGATACGGGTGGATTATGGATATTAAAGAAGAAGCTTTTAAAGCAATCATTAGTACCATGGAGAGTTTAGGAAATGAACACCCTGATTCTTATCAGTATTTTGATTTGATGTTTGTTTACGTTCGAGCAGCATGCGTAGTGAATGAAAATGAGAATCATTCAATGTTTCCTCAGAATCTTTAAGTATTTACGTTATTATCTTCTTTCTTGTTTGAATTTTATAGTTTTGATTGTTCACTCCTTCATTGTAGCTCTAATTCATGGATCATCCCTCAGTTGTTATTTATTCAATTCCTCCTGTCCCTCAGCAACAATCTTGGATCGGTAAGAAGGTTAAGTTTTAAAAACCGAAGAAAGCCTTCATTCATCAAACTCTCTGTCTGTTCATCATCTCACCATTTGCTCTGTTTTCTTCTTTTTTTTATGAAATCCACATAATCTAATGGTTTCCAAGAATTCAACGACTCGCAGATTTGTTTATTGCTCAACTAACGGTGAAAATCCAGTGAAGCCATCTAGCCATCTTGATTACCTCTAACCAAGCAAGAGGCTTAGGCCTTTCCTTATTTAATTCTTAGAGATGATTTTAAGCAAGTAAGGGTTACTCACTTAACTTCTAATGAAAACGGTAATGGTCCTATATCTTCAGGGAAGATGATTTCAAACTGACAGAGGTTAGGTTTTCAGTCACTTTCAAAATGAAACTGAGAATGAATTATCACTCAATGAATATCTTTGATCTCTGTCATATTTATCAAGATTTGATCAGCATTCTATAGTTTGGAAATAATGGATAGTTCGGCTGGTTGTGGCTGTGGCTACTTACCTACGAGGGGAACTTGCCGAGCTGCTGCTCCGATCAGGCTGAAAAAAATTCGCATGAACTCTTTGGATGAATCCATTAGTGTTTGGTTGTTTTTTCCAATGCGCCCTGAAAACATCCCCAAAAATTCTGAAAAGTCCCGTTTTGAGTGCACTGTCTATGCGCGCTCAAAACCGGACTTTTCTGCATTTTTGGGGACGTTTCCAGGGCACATCGTTTTTAGAAATGATGTTTATGATGTTCATGCCAAATAAGTTTACACGTTTTTAGACTGCAAAAGAAGATCCGCCATCTTGCTTCTTGCATTTACTTTACATGTAGAATGCACGTAAGACAATCTTTTGTCAGTCTTGAGACGCTTACGCTTATTTGATGACGACTCTACCCAATACAGAATTCACCTCATTACCCAACATATTCCCTTGACCACTATATGGCCCAATAAGTTAGAATAATTTTAGATCTGGAAGAAACTTATATCCTCAAATTAAACTTAGGAGTATTCAGCCGCGATTAAAAAAAGAGATGATAGAGCTCGCGCATCGTATGTTGAGACAAATGTCAAAGGATTGTTTATGTCACCATTCACCAGTGGTGCCACCTGACTACATGTATTAACCTGTTGAGCGGTGCGAATTCGGAGCTAATCGGAGATTGACGTTTGTCTCAACATACGATGAGCGAGCTCTAGGTCTTCGGTCCCCTGGGTGTTTTCTTATTGGAAGATATAGGATTTAAGCATGGCTAAACCCATTTTTAATTTTTTAAATTTTTTCTCCAACCTAAACCCTTTTCTTTGCAAAAATATCCTGTTGAACAACATAGCAATTGCATTTGTTTCAGGTCCAAAGAAAAAGAAACTATTTGGAGACGTAGCAAAACTTCTGACGCTCCAAATGATAATGCTGTAATTCCTCTAAGGAAAGAAATGAAGAAAAACTTCAGTCAAGGTTTACCCACACCAGCACCTAAACTTAGTGCAAAAAAGGTAAGCATGGTCTGCTAAGCACCTGTAGCTTCTGAAGACAAATAAGTATCAGTTTAGTGTGCTGAATGTAGAATTGAAAATTGCTGTTTCAATGTTATCAATTGATGTTTTTAACTTTTCACTAGATGTCTCTAATATACCACAATGCCAAGCGATGTCAAGTGACATCAATGAAAAAGAAGAAGAAAATATAAGTGCAGGTATAGGTGGTTTCACTGGGTAATTTTGAACAAATACTCTATCCCATCTTTGTATCCCCAAAATAAAGCAAATTTTGAATATTGCTAATCTCCAAAGAATTGCTTTGGTAATAGTGTCATTTGTATTTTATTTAGTTAATTTCAACTATGAACTAAGTTGAATAAATTTATTATTTTGTTGCATTATAATGTAAATTTTATAACGATTGATAACAATATTATATTTTGCAGACTTCTCGTGGAGGAAAAATCACCAATGATTTTATAGGACCTGAATCTACGGCTAAAAATTGTAGTCGAGGCGGTGGTGACTCAAGCTGGCTACACTCTCAGTTCTCTAATTTAACGCCAATCAAGCAAACATCACGGCGAAGGGCTTGTGGAGATCAAAGTGATTCAGAAGCATTTCTTAGTCAGGATGAAAGTAGTAACGATCCTGTGAAATCTAGTCACCTATTCAGTTCACTCTCTCCTGAAATCAATCTTCAGAGGTTTGAAAATATTACTCACGTAGAAATCTACTAATTTAGTTTTTGCACAGCTCTCTGAAGAAGGACCAATCAGTCCATCAGTTCTTAATCAGATTTTGGGGGTTTTCAAAATAATTTGTTTTCATAACGCTGAGGATTTGATAGTTCAAATCCGTAAATGACCTTCATTCATTTCTGTCATGCACCAATTTCCAAAAAACTTGAATTTTCCTCAGATAAGCCTGTTTTTAGAAAAATCCTCCAATATTTTTTTACTTTCGAACTCGGAGCTGAGCTAAAGTAAAATGCTACTACCAGATGACTTTCAGTATATTTGCCTTACTGCTCTGTGTAGTTATTAAATTTTCCATTGGGAGAATAATAAAGTAATGATTAAAGCTTTCATTTCAACATTTGAAGTTATCGCGCCGATTTTTAACATTCCACAATATTATCTCAACATCCATTTGTTCCCCTGTGAAGTCATCTGAGCCACCTAACTTTATACAAGATTCATCTACTCCTTTATTTCATTTATACTTGAATCAGTGAGTTCGAAAACACACAAACTCGGATTTTTTTTTTTATTTTCACTTTTTTATGGTTTAGTAACACCTAGGGATGGGGACCTAGGGACACTTATGGAAAAGGAAATTTCGGAACAGCGACGGGAAAAGGGAAAAATCGAAGTAGGGTAGGTATTTCATTGGAAAAACCAATTTTTGGCCATTTCAAGGGAAACAAGTGACCGTCCGATTTTGCGGTTTTCTTTTTTCGGATCAGTATACCTTGTACCAAAAAGTTATATAAATATTCAAGTGTTATTCAGGTTGAAAAATATACATTTTTCAGGGCAGACTCTGAAAAATCGGTATCTAAATGTCAGTGAGAATGAAAACACACCAACTCGAAAATTTTTAAACGCTTAATTCTCTGTCATCAAACATGGTGTTTTGATTTCAACTTGGTGCTTTCAACAAAGTCTCTAAGTACTTGTCCTTTGGCACCAAAAAGGTTTTTCTTAAACTAACTTCTTCGCCCGCTGCGCAGTTTTAGGTATTTCCTCAACAATTTTTTTTTCCGAGTTGGTGTGTGTTCAAACTCACTGATCCACTTGTGCATATTATTTTCATAGACTGGTAGTATTTTTTGTTAATCTATTTTCCGCATCAAATTCTCCTCACAGAATGGGATACTCTGTAAGCGACACCATTGATTGGGACAAGATACAGCTGCCTCCTAAATCAGATCTCCACAAACAAATTCATTTTAGGATAACTAATTGCATGTAAGTGTGCTGCGATTTTTTTTCACTCAGTATTTTATGAGTGTACAACTGCGAGGAAGTTGACCTCCAAATATATTCGATTAATTACTGTTACATGGAAAAAGTAAAATTTCCAACTACCTATCATAGTATATCTGCTGGTAATCAAATCAATGAGCTTCATTAAGCTATTTCCACGTGACATCCAGAGACTTTCATGAGGCTTTCATAAATTAGCCGAACAGGATTTATGGTGAACAGGAAAGACAGGGAGAGTTAAGATGAGAATATGCATCACCAAGATAGTCGCAAACTGCAATGCAAGTTCTTGATCTTTCTTATAATGTATATGTAACACATCAATACTGAGCTCTGCAATACTCTCAGTTCACAGTGAATTTTACCTGAGGAAATTTGAGCCTTCACAGATCAGTAGCGGTATTTTGCGCTGAGCCATGTTTATTTTTGTATATATTTTTATTTGGAAGAAAAGAACAAGGAGAAACAGAGGAAGTCAGGAAGACAGAAAATCAAAATCAAAAACTTTGAGAGTCTGAGAAATGGGAAAGCAAATTTTGCCCCAATGAACCTCTCATCTCTGTAAATGTTTGTTCCAACTATCTTCTCTTCTCTTCTTCCTCCACTAACAACTGGGACACAGCCCTGTTTGTCAAGCGCTTGAGCACAGAACACTTATAAATCACTATTGAGAATAAAATATTTGTCAAACATTAAAAGGAAAAACAGCAATAGCAACATTCAATTACCTTTAGAGTCCATTTACATTACAGATTTACCGTTAAAACTATGAGTCATAGCTATGATTCATTTACCTCGCTGCTGCCTAACAATTATTTATCACTACAGTTAATGGTGAAAGTTATTGTGATTATAATCTGTAACTCTCTTGTCTTCCTATTTTCCAGTAATCCAGATGTTTTAATTCGAATAGGAACAAGTGAATTCCGCTATCACATGCTAGTTTTACAATCCTACTCTTCTTTTTTTGATGAGAAGTCAACAAGGCAGATTGAACTACCAGAGGTAACTGAGCAACTATTTTCTTTCACCAAAACTGTTTTTACAATTTGTTGGCTTTACATGGAAGATGCGTAAGAAAAGATGTTCAACCATTTCTGAGAATTTCCACTGAGATGCTTTTGGTGCAACTAGATTCACAGAATTTCAAGCTTGAACAAACTTCAAAAAATGATTTTTGGAATTTTCAATGAGAGAATTTCTAATCATATTGAGAACAGACCTATGTAAAGAAGAAAGAGACAGAGATATTGGCCGAACGTCACATAACCCTCAGTTTTTGTGCTCATCATCGAGGGAAAATCTCATTTGAGCAAAATTTTCCCCTTCAGAGTTACTCTGTTCAGAGCAACAGTAGTGACGATCGATCAGGGAGGTAACCACATTTGTCTTTTGAGTCTAATTTGACCCATCATCAGTGTATCACAGCCTCCTGAGTCCTAACTCTCTGCTTCCAAGTTTGGAAACGTTGTTCAAACCACACCAAGGCTTGGGCAAGCGGCCATGATATCTGTCTCTAATCTGAGTGGTGCCTTAACCCATTTTAGTTCATGGAAAAAAAATTGAACTGGAGAAAATTTATTTACAGCTTTGGGTTCTAAAAATAATAGGAAAACTTTAAAACTTGATTTTCAACCCTCTCAAGGGTTAAAATTCCATTCTACCGACCTTTGGGTTTCTGGAAAAAGATAATTAATTTTGAAAATCAAACCCATAAATTGTGTCTCGATTTGCAGGTTATTTTTGATAACTTTGCAATGATCTGAGATACCTCATGTAATTTTAACATTTCAACCTCACATAACGTTTTCCTCTTTAATCCTTGTATCCTTAACATTCTCTGCGTACTAATCAGTTTTTCATATTTGTACAGAATATGGTATCAAAAGAAGCTTTTGCATGTATTTATGATTGGATGCTTCATTTAAGTCAAGACAGCTATCATCTTTTAAGAAGGGATAACATTCTAGGCATATTCTCGGCGGCCCAATATTTAGGCATAAAAGGTATGTGGCAGTAACTTGCATCACTTGAACTTGTCGCTTTCTTCCAATATCATTTAATCGAGAAAAAAGGTAAAAACAAAAAATGAAAACCTTGGTGTCAGTTCAATGGACAAAAAACTGGCTCTTAGAATACTGAGACTTGTGAATTGTAAGCTCAGGCCTATTAAACTGCAACGAATTATAGAGATCAGTTCATTGAAAATATGCATATTACAGACCAGAATGCGCATAGTTGATTTATCTGAGACCAAAGTGTAAAAGCTGTAAGGAGAGAGGAAAATGTTTGAAGACCCTTTGATAAACCATATGTATAGATTGCTTTTCTGACATCTACTTTTAATACATCAATATGTCCTATCAATTCGTTTATGATGAATCCATTTGCAAGACAAAATCCTGGCTTAAGATCAAAAACACATTTTCTGTCACAACCAGTCCAAAGACTCGGAAGTCATGTTACCAAGTTTAGTCATAAGTCATAAGTTAGTTACGTCCAAGAAAAAATTTGAAAAGCAATAGTAGTCAATCAGTTCTCATGAAAATCAAAATTATAAAAATTTTAATTTTTTAAAACTTTTACTTGACTCATAACCTGATAGCATCCAGAAGCTGATTAGTTAGAATCTACATTTACACCGAATTTTCGATGATGTGTCCCCCAACAGTCACAGAGATGGTTTGCCTGCACAGCTAAAAATTGGTCATATTCTATTAGAGTGTAGGGCATGTGCTAATTTGACAATAACCGATTTCTCAAGCACAAATATTTTTTTCAACAAATGTTTTCTCTTGTTTTAATTTTACTATCAAAATGATTTTTTCTTTCCCGACACCATACCATCGTTACGTCTTTTCATCCTCCTCTTCCCATTCCTCTGAGATGAAATTTAAATTTGTTCTATCATAATATAACAGAATTAGAAGAGCAGTGTTGGGCATTCATAAGCAATGAAGAGCTTTTTAACGAAGATACTGCATTTTTACTCTACCTTGATGCTCGCAAATCCGATAATGTTGCCGTCATGGATTTGATGGTGCCCCGAATCCAAAGATTTTTCCTCACCCTTGTTAGCTCCAAAGATTGGTTAGAATTGTCCATAGAAGAAGTTTGCATGTTTTTAAGCTCAAATTACATATCTGTTCATTGGTAAGAACTCATTTTCCATCTTTAGTCTTCTATAGCGTAAACTCTCATACATTTTGTTCTTAATCCCTTCCTTTATTTTCTAAAATTTCTGTTAGCTTTCTTCAATTTCTCGGTTTACCAACTTACAATTGAAATGTCACAAGATCCAGGTATTGTCTTGAAAATGGATGTTTCTACAGCAAAATTTAGGGAGGAACACAACGCCTAGGTTTACAAACTTCAAAACTGCTTTTTCTACTAAAATAAAGAGACTTAAAGTTGAAGCCATAAAAATAATTTGTCTCATTAGCCTGAAGGTTAAGAGGTCATATAAGGTGTCAACCCATCATTTCAGCCACCTTGAATCCAATGCAACTATGCTCCTGTAAATCACAAACTGAACATTTCATTTAGAAAAAAATAAGTACAAAAATATTCACTTCAAACAACGATAATATTGCTAGGTACATAACATATTGTCACAATTACAGAAAGTTAAAAAACAAATGCTGATACAAAATTTAACAAAATTTCACTTACAATCCTCTATGATGGTTTAATTCTTAGTAAATATTGCTGTGCATGCTCCTGACACTGAATAAATTATTATTTTATAAATTTCAGTGAAATGGAAGTATTTATGTCTGCTGTTCGATGGTTAATGCACGATTGGACCAAAAGAGCTGCCTATTTAGTGAAAGTAATGGGATGTGTAAGGTTTGGGTTAATAGCACCTTGGCAATTGGTTGATATCAGAAGGAATTCTGATTCTCCTGAATTCATCGAAGTCACAAAAAATCCTGTAGTTCAGCAATTCGTCGAGGATGGCTTAGCGTAAGTTGTTTTTTTCACACAATTAATCACAGCCAGTTCTCTAATGTTGTGGAAGCACTAGCAATAAGTGTTGGATTCTGAAATGAATTCGTTTTCAACCAAGATAAGAAATTCAAGCAATTAAACTTTCTCTAAGTACATTTTGTACTTGCGCTTTTGTCTTTTTTATTGAAGATCAACTTAGGCCATTAATTTCTTCCTGGGATTGAACTTAAAATCAGAGATTTTGAAAGTTTCAGATCATGAAATATTTCACACGTGGAAGCAATTTTCCTCATTCACGTTCGAGAAAAGTCTTCTTTTGGGAAACGTTTGGTATCAATCAAAATGTCACAAAAAAAAACTCTAAAAGTGTGGTTTGAATACTGTGCCTAACAGGATGGTAGAATAGTGCTGAGTTAATATTATTCTGCAGAGAAATAAAATCCAAAGTAAATAAATAAGCAAAAAAAAAATAGAATTTGATTACAAAATTAACTCTAATCAGTTTCAGTGCAATTAAAATGTCATATTTTCAGAGATGAATTTCTAAAAGTGGATTAAATAACGCCGGTTTTGATAATCAATTAGTAAGTGTAAATGTTGATTTACATCAAGATTATACAATTCTCTTCTCAATGATTTGAGTTTTTATTGTGACACCACGTACATGTATGTCTGGGCTTTTCTATGAATAAGTAAATTTCCTGCATTTTGATTATAGCTATGTTTGGAATTTACCATTAGTTATCATTTCTCTAACAGGTTTTTGTTTTATTTTCAGTTTTGCCATTATTAAGTATTGGTACGTTCATGAATCAAGAGATTATTATCATTGGATTGACTCACTAAGACTCACAGAGCCTTCTCAAAGAAATTGGATCGGCTCAGACAAAGTAAGTGTTCCGTCGGTCTCACCATTTTTATTTTTTATACATTATGTACATGCACTTGTTCTCGTAATGTTTAAAGTATTTGCCTGTGTGATGGAAGCCATTGATACATGTTTTTAATCTGAAATACTTTTAAAATTGGTTGTGCAATCCTTTTGCTGTGTCTCCAGACTTGTCAATAATCTCAGACGATACTATTTTTAAAACAGGAAAAACTTTTCATGACTCATTATTTCCTCTCATAAAAATCCACAAAAGTAGTAAAATCTTATGGATATTTGGTTGCACATGACTGTCAGGCTTAACTTAACAAAATAATATTTGGATTCAGGTTGTCAGTTGAGCCTAAGCCAATGCAGAACTTAACAATTTTCCAACACAATGATCATGCTAAGCCCTGTCTAACTCATTCAACTGGTACTTTGGTGGCTCTCAGAGGAACCACTGCAAGTATTGGCACGGCTGCAGCCATCGTGTTGACTTCATTCACGATTTTTGGAGAGCTAATAGTATACCCTAAAAAATGCTAAAATCAATTAAGAACTAGTGGAGTTAAACAGGATCATGACATGACTGTAATATTCATAATCCCTAAATCTCATTTTAATTAGAGTGTGTACGTTTTAAGAAATTAAAGAACTTTCAAGATCTGTGTGTTTAAAGTTTTAATTTTATCAAATGAGATAGATCCAAAAGCTAAGAACAAGATCAAACAGTGGAAACGGTCAAATTTACTCACTCTTTTTGTACAGCTGACCTAACAAATGGAACCTAAAATTCAAATTTTTTCTTCTCAGAGTTTCTCATCGTACCGTGAATTCTTGAATGATCTGGATCTCTATCGGCGACCGAGTTCTACGCAAAAGAAGAAGGATAATTTGCCAAGCGGAGATTTTTCTGAAGAAGACAGCTCTGTGTCTGACGCCACTTCAACGTCCGTGAATTCTGGTTTGTTGTCAGCAAGAAAACGGATCCCAAGGAAAAATGCCCCAGTACCATCTCTTGCTGAATACTTTGCTGCTCACAGGAATGGAGTAAGTGCTCGCAAAAAGTATGTTCATCGATGATTTACCGCTCAACCCTACTTCCGTCCTTTCTCTCTTTTTCAAACGTCAAGATGCAGCTGATGAGTACACCTTAATAACACTTCAAAAAAAAAACTTTACACTGAAGTGTCACAATTACTGTTCATAGCTTTGCCTCAATTCGTTTTGTGTTTCTTGCTTCTTTCCCACCTGCAATTTTAGTTTTGAAACCGAAGCTTCCATCTTCCTTGATATCTACCCACCAGTTAGTAAGTTGATCATGAACCTGAGTGCATGCATTAGTACTATTCTGTTAATACCATTTTTAGTGATTCTTTCTGTAACTTATCTGTCCTGTATTTGCTTTTTCTTCAAGCTCTTTACCTAATGCTTACCTAAAAATAACCAAGTTATTATCAAAATGTACTATTTGCTCCATTTTTTCACAAAAAATGGATGAAAAAGAAAGAGGAACAATTCAGCCCTCTTGAAAATTGCCTCATGCCCACTGTAATTCACTGATCGCAAGATCAGGCATTTTTAGCACCCCTAATTACATGTTTCATGAAATGATAATGATACGGCTTGGTTCTACCTCCTGGCTCTTGTAAATCATCTCTTGGAAGCTAACTACTGGTGCAATTGGTCAGTAATTGTATGATCATTTATGTCCTTAAAATTTGAATTTCTTCAAGTTTATCTTTAAGGATGCTTATTTTGAGCACATTATTTCTTGAGGATAGCTCTTTGCAACAGTAACCGTTTCAAGGTGTAACTCAGAGTTTTTGCCACCCTGTTTCAAAAATACACCACAGTGAAGTGTACAAACAGACATATTTGAATCTAGTTTATGGATTTACTAGGATTAAAGACTCTGTTTTCGTTGTTGATTGAATGAAAAATCCAAAAATTAAAGTACTCCCTTTTCATTCATTTATTATTGTTTTTCTTTCTTCTGATAGTTTTTATTTAAATGCTGTTTTATCATTTCTCTTTTCTGTGGATGATAGCTTGTTGCTTGTATCATGTAGGGCTCCATGTCATGAGAAATATTAACTCCCAAAAAAACTTTAAAAAAAAAATTAAATCAGAGTCTCACTTAAGCATTGAATAAGTGTAAGGGAATGAAGTGAAACAAGCAACGTCAATGTACCTAGTCAAGGATATTTTCAATGCAGCCTCACTTAGGTTGGACTTACCATAAATAATATTCAATTTATCTCACATTCAAATCTTGTCGGTTTCGTGGCGATCAAATTGCGCTGCCTTTTTCATTCTGTAGCAACATATCGATGGTGAAACTTCAGAAATGCATACTTCGGTTTGCGACATTGCAGACTTCCTTTCTTCCTTTATTTTCTACGTGGAAAACTACCAAACATCATTTCCTGAAAATTTCGGCGAACTTATTCTGTATGCGATGAATATTCTGTGAAAATTACAAACCATAATGTTGGTTGGGTCTCCTTTGAAAAAATAAAAAAGGGACGAAGGTTTTGAAATTCTGCAACCAAGATATGCAGTTTCACCGTTGGCATTGGGATTGCAAACAAGTTGGAAATAGAAAGGAGTCATGGAAATGGGTTTTTGAGAAAGAAATAAAAAACAAACTTAAAAAAAGAGAAAAAAAGGAACTTCTCTCAAAAATTAGTTTGGATAATCCAGTGTGTGAATACTCTAAGTTTGAATATCTGAGGTGTACCTCAAAGTTCCAGGAAAGTATATTTTCCATGAAGTCCTCACCGTAGCACTAACGGTGAAAAAGGTCTTTTTACGATGTTCAAACTTGTTTTAAGAAGTGTAACAAACTGGCGCTGCCTTAGTCAAGTAAGTGACTTCATTCTCCCCTCATTGAGTAATTTACCCTCAAGAGTTGTCAGTTCATCTACATCTCTATAATGAAACATTCTTAATCTCCTCCTGAATCCAAAGTAAGATAAATGAGACATCTCTTGCATTCCTCTGTTATTAATTTTGCCACTATTAAAAGAGCTTTTACGTTTTAGATTCAGTTTGAAACTAGTTTTCTAGCTTTATCAGTCAATAATAATATTGAATTTGCTATTCTGAGCATCATCCAAGAACCTCCGTCGTGTTTTGTGTACACCCAAGCACCAATAATTGACAAGCATTGACAAACTTGATTTACAGCTTAAAACAATTGTAATCTAATGATAAATTTAATTCTAGGGTTGTCGGATGGTTGGTCAAACTCATGAGTGCTCTGAACAATCCAAAAATGTTCGTGAAAATATTTTTTCAAGGCATTATTGTGGATTATCGGTCCCGTTTTTCAGTTCTATCTTATGCTCTCTTGGATTGATGTCTGCACTGGAATTCTTTGGGAAGCATAACTTCATCCTAACTATCAGCATGCTGCAAACTAGTAAGATATTGTTTTATAAATTTTCATCTGCATTTTTCTTTTTAGAAATGTTTAGTATGTATGTGCCTGTTCTTGTGATTCATGATCAACTTTGTAAGATTGGTGGATTTTTTGGTCGCATATTCAATTAGTATCGCAGGTAGTAGTATTTCTTGTGTACGTTTTTAGTCCACGCTTTTAATTTCCATGTGTTTCTTTTACTCTCTCGTGCTCCCCTTTCCTCTACTCTTTCTTTCAATCAGCTTAAAAATTGTTGTCTTTTCAAATGTAAGAGATTTTGAATGTCATTAATTGCCAATTATTCCATAGTGAACAAAAAAATACCATTAATTTTGTCTAAATTCAATTTTCAAGCTGAGAAAAAATCTCGCGTAATCAAAGCCGTATTGATGATGCAACATAGAATTTTGGGCAAGTCAATAACTGCAGTCAGTCGAATTCCATATTCAGCAATACAGCTGGTACTATGCTCTTTTGCGACCCGGTATAGGGGCTCCAAATTTGAAGGAGGTATTTTAAGTCCTCAGTCTCGGCAACATGTTTCAGCCTTTTCTCTGTTGAGAAAATCTGACAAAGCACCACAGTGTCACTCTCAAAATACTAAACAGGAATAGTCAGGTGAATTTTATTGCTATTCTCTCAGAGACTGCATCAGAAAAATTAAAATGCTGAAACTGGCAATAATGAGAAATGACGTTATAAGACTTACGTTTTTTAACATAACGGAGAAGCAGCTTGTTGTTGTTCTTATGAAAAAAAACCTAGAACTGTGAATTCATCCATAAGGTTTTTAGCTCTAAGTTATTGTCAAAATTGCATTAAATGTTGAAGATTTTGTATGTTTCAGAATGTAAAATCAGAATTATAAGGTTTTAATTTTTTGCAGGCTGAGTTCTTGAAATTAAAGAAAAACATTGAGAAAAGAAAATTGAAGTTGATGGGCCAATCAGAGCTTAAACCTGTCAGGGAAGTCAAGGCTGAAAATTCTGGAAGCAGCAGTAAAATGACGAAAAAGATTGATGCGGATGCAGAAGAGCCATTTAAAAAACTCCCTAACGCTACTGAGAACTATGATGCAAGAAATAATTTCAAACCTACATATTCTTTACTCACAGCAGAAAAAGACATTGACAACGCAGCATCTCATGAAATAAGTATCAAAGCTGAAAGTTTATCAAGTGTTGAATTATCTAAAATCTTAGACAAGCAAAACAAAAGGTTAGAACCAGAATCATATCAGAAACAAACCAATCAAACAACAGCCGGGGCCATGTCCAACAAAATATTCTCCAATATATCGTCAAGAATCCCGGATGAAAATATCAGATCAATTTTAGATGGCTCCACCTTCTCTTCTCTGAATTTTGATTTTCCAAGAAGACAGAACCATCCATCAAATTTTCAAGGTCTGAAAACCAAGAATTCTTGTAACATTTCTCAGAATGATGTATCGAAAATTCAAGAGGAATTTGAACGGAAAGTCAAAGCTGCAACCAAAATCCAAGCTGTTTTCCGTGGTTATGTAGCCCGGAAATTTGTAAAATTGTTGCGACTAAAATTGATAACAACTAAGTGTGGCTCCTCAGATAGGAAAAAGATTGAAACAATCACAGAACGGGGTAAAAAGTCTTGGATGAAAAACCAAGTAAATGCCGGTGAGCCAAACTTGAAAGCTACCTCTGAAACACTGCCTACCTCGAGTCAAATCTTACCGGATGCTGTGAAAAATAACTTCATCGATCTTCATTTTAATCAGTAAGTATTTTTAGACTCCAATTAATTCGTAGCGGTATGAGAAAAGGAGTGTCAATTGTCCTGAAGGTGAGGTGCCTTCATTTTGACCTAGGCCCATACTTGAAACTAGAATCTCTCTCTCTGTCCTTAATATGTAGGTCAAAACTCACGACTTGTTTTTGTGAAGTAAAACTGCAAAGGACATTACCAAACCCTTTGAAAGCACTACATTACCTTTTGTATTTGAGATGCCTTACCTTAAAAATGTACCAGATTTCAAGTTGTCCATTCCCAGTTAGTGCTCCAAAACCCAGTCTGGGAACTCCCTCAAATACTTGCTGTATTCACAAACTGAAGCGGTCGAATGGAGATCCAGTTTGAAAGTAGAAGAGCGCATGAATTCATCTTTGCGTTAGTTGGTCGCTGAGGTAGGAAGCTTTTTAAAACTACTGTTCATTCTCACCTATTGTATTTATGTTGTTGTTCTTCTTCTTCCAGCAAGCAAAATGATCTGAGGAATAAGAGTCCTGTGATGCATCAACGAAGTTATTCGGATGAAGGATCATTATTCTTTGCTCATCAAGAGGCCATTTTAGTTTTTGGTGGAATAGACCCTCACAGACCGTACGGCATTGATCGGAATACTGGCAAGAATGCCTTCCGCTACGTTCCAAGCGAAAATACTTGGGAGTTCATAACTGAATTACCTGAACCAAGGCACCACCACTCCGTTGCTTTCTTAAAAGGAAGAATCTACGTTGTAGGTAATTATTTTGTGTATAAGTAGGGACCCTTCTTACATAAACTTTATTTCATACCAAATATCAAACTGATAAGACTATGAAAGGCATTGAAGACGTTATATCATAGTTATGTATATAGTGTATAGTTATTCTTTGTACAGATCCTTTCCGTGAAGTAGCTAAAAAATTCATTCAAAAGTTCATGAAAGCATTTCTAATAGGAGATAGAGCTAATCAAAATCTGACCAATCAGAAGCCAACATTCAAGTGGACGTAGCAAGACAAAGCTCAAAACTGAGGCCAGCAAACGAGCCTTCTTAAAATATCGTTTCAAACTGGTCCCGTTTGTTGCATTTTCAAAACCTGATTTCTTTGCCATATAGGGCTTAATAAAAATCCGAAAAAATTTCTGTAAGCTCAGTTCACTCTTTGCTTTTAACCCTTTCCGGTCCAATGTCGGATATATTCGCACGTGAAAAATAATGCGTTTAGGTCCGATGTCGGATATAGTCGCCCGAAAGTTTTAACCTCTGTGCAGGCCTGATGTCGGGTATATTCAACTGCTCCAGCAAGTGGCGGCCTCTGGTGGACCCTTTGGAAACCACTGTCTTTGTTGACAACATCGCTGCTACCTTAACCTCGCTTCTCGCGGCCGTGGAAAACTGCTGCGGACCGGAAAGGGTTAAAAAATAAATTTCAAAAATCGGGTGCCAGCGACATATTTAACTGAGATTCCCCAAGTTTGAACTGGAAAAAGGAGATTTGAAGTTGTATAACTATGCACCTCCATAAAACTCAATATAAAGGACAAATTTTAAGGAAGATTTTTACCTTCTTATTATTTTGCCTCAACTTTGATTTTTTATTGAGAGAAAAGTTTCTACTATAGTTGAACTAAAAACATATCCCAACTAATTTTTTTTTTCTAAAACACGACTTGATATTTTTCTGTTAACGGCAGTCCAAATTTAGTGTGAAAACCAAAAAAAAGAGGGAGTTTTTAATCATACCCCAGTTTATTAGAAATTTTTTGCAGCAGTTCGTTGGAAGTTTACTCGTGTGGACAAAGGATGAGCCATCATAATCTAATCTTTTTTGGGCCGTTCAAAAGCAAAAATTGAATCATCATAATTTTGTACGCTATATAGCTGCATAACATAATTCTTGTAGTTTTATTACCTCTGAAATACGGGTTTGTAAAGAAAATCTTTAGCCTGTATCAACTTATCAGTGTACTGCGATTGATTAAATTCATCCTTATTCCTGCAACTGTGGAAGTCTGAATTTGTTTTTTCAGGTGGTGCAAATCCTCGTGAGTGTGACCCTAAAACTAAGTTTAAAATAGTCTCAACTGTTTGGAGTTTTGAACCAGTCACTTTAGCTTGGTTCACGGAAACCCCTATGAAAATAGCAAGAAAAAATTTTGGCTTAGTGCCTATGAGCGGGAAACTTTTTGTGATTGGTGGTCAAGACAAATATCAAAGGTAGGTATGTACATTACAAATTTCTTTTTCTCTAGAAACAAATGTTTTCAAAGTTTCCGACTTCCATTAGTTCACTCACAATCACAAATATTTCAATAAATTTCAGAACAATTTCATCAAAATACTGTGAATAAACATGTGTTTCAGAACCATCGAAATTGTTTGTCAACAAGTTGATAGGTTAAGTAATGTCAAGTTCGGACAAATGGAAAGATACTAAAATCTAGTCTTGGTTTGCCTAGCCAGATGACAATCAAATGATATATATCTAAATATGCCCCCTAAATATTTGAAATTTAATGGAAATTCTCTGGCAGTTTATACTGTATACTTGTCGGCACCATGATTCATGGGCCATTGTCAATAATATTCAGTTTCATGAATGTAAACTTCTAATTTACATCTCTTAACAAAGTTATGACAGACCTGTCAGCATTCTTTCAGAAAAATTGTTGGTAGTTGTCACGGCAAATAAAGCTCACAGCCCTAGACTCATTATGTCATATCGCTGATATCAAAAACATTTTTTTAAATTTGTACAGAATATTATCAAACGTTGAAAGATTTGATCCTCAAACCGGAGTATGGGAAGAAATGGCTCCATTAGAAGTTGGGCGAATGGGAGTGGCTGCTGCTCAATACAAAGATCGTATCTGGGTCTGTGGCGGAATGACCTGTGCCAAAAAATCTATTTTATCCCAACGAGTTGACTATTATGATACTCAGAACAATATGTAAGTGAAACATTTTTCTCAAGCAAACAGACTTCTTATTAACTGACTTTCTTTATTGTATGACGGTATGTTGGAGTTTTCTAGCCAACGTGTGTTAAATTCAGCATGAAGGTGATATCTCACTGCAGAGGAAAAAAGCTCACACACAAGCACAATTTTCCCTCAAAGAGATAAGCTGTTTGTCTAGTCTCAGGCTGGTTTTCACGACCTCTCCGAGCTTGGTAGCAGCAAATTCAGAAGGCTGCGCTGCACTGAGGATTGGCCCAACAAGGCGGAAACGCGTCTACAGTTGCCTTCCTGAATGGTTGTTACTAGTGTTGCACCAAACAGCTTATCTTTTTGAGGGAAACTTTTGCTTGTGTGTGAGCTTTTTTCCTCTTTAGTGAGATATCACCTTTATGCTGAATTTAATGCACATTGGCTAAAAAACTCCAACATACTGTCTTACGACCTGTGCGTCCACCGCAATCAGTTGGTGTAAAACTGTTATTTTGGTTGTGTTCCTCTCATAATGAAAAGTTTTCATATTTTCACTGTTTGAACATTATCGTGGTTGTCTACAGGGATACAGTGGACTCTCGATAATTCTAACCTCGATAATTCGAAAACCTCGTTAATTCGAAGGAAAGTCCGTTTCCCTTGGAAATCTCTCGATAATTCGAAGAAAATCAATGTATTTTTCTCCCCTCGTTATTTCGAAATTTTTAAGCTGATGCAGCCCTCTATAATTCGAAATTGCGACGAAAATTCTCTCTGTAATTCGAAGTGTGGGAAGTAAATATGGTCCTCCCTCTATAATTCGAAATAAGACGGTACATTCTCTCTACAATTCGAAATCAACTGTTTATGTACCTGGGTGTCTGAAAGAGCTGATAGGATTGTCACAATGTAAACATGTAATTAATAATTTTAAAATTAAATATAAATAATTAATACTTAATAATAACTTAATGTAATTTTTACCTCTGTGAAGAAATAAACTGATATTTTTGGTTCCTTTTGACGTAAATCCGTACATTTGCCTCTCTACATTTGAACCTCTCTAATTCGAAATTTCCCCAAATGAATCTCTTTAATTCGAACTCTCTTTATTTCGAAACCTCGCTAATTCGAAGAAAAAGCCGATTCCCTTCAATTTCGAATTATCGAGAGTCCACTGTAAATAGTCTGGAAAAGTCAGAGATAGAGCATATTTATGCGATCAAGAGCATATAAGCAGAACATGTTTTTGAACCAAATGTGTCAAAAAGGCAACAGAACTCACTTGCAACATCTAAAACTTTAAAAAGATCAGATGCATAATCAGAAGGTCTGAGCCCAAAGCCTCTCTATCTAATTAAAGTCTGTTGAATTCTCTCTCTTTCAACATTCCTATTTCAGAGAACGGCTTTTATCAAAGAATGCTCCAGACATTTTTTATTTCCCTCAATTTTTCTTTAAGTTAAAAATTTATCCATTCTGACGAATAGAGCATATCTTTTGAGAAAGTATTACATTGTAAAATGACTTAAATAATGGTTCTTTTCACCTGAGATTCACCAGGCTTAAGGAAAACTGAGATTTCTGAAGGTCAATTCTAATATTAACATAACTATTGCAACGTAAACGTAGAAAGTATTTTAATTTTAGTATAATGTCAATGCCCCTTTTTTTCTATTGTCCTTCTATTAATAATCTTTTCGCAGTTGGTATTCCTCTGGATGTTGCCTTAACTTTCTTTGAATTTTGACCGTGCTATAAATGTATCAGCCTATGTTCATCGTTGCATGATGCAGAAGAATTTTTTTTTTCCTTGTCGGTCTCTCAGAAAAACCTGGGAAAATCTGTAAGAGTCCTTGTATTTTCCATTTGAGATCATTGAAAAATTAAGTAAGAGACCAGGAAGTCCTTAAATTTTGTTGTTTCGGCTGTATGTGCGGTGCTCTTAATAAATATAATATAAAAAATGTTAGGAAAGTTTTTTTTTCTTCAAAATTTGCTGATGCTCCAGGCCAATATTTAATTTTTTAACAGTGTATTGTGATGTGATCTCAAATCTTTTCAGGTGGACTCAATGCTCCCCGTTGCGTTTTCCGCGCTGTTTTGGCGTTTTATTTCCGAAAGGCGACTCTCTTTATTTCATTGGTGGCGCAGGACGTCAGAATGAAAAGGAAACTACAACTTATAGTATCAGTGCCATTGACTCTTGGGATGATTTGAAGAAGGAATGGTATCTTGAGACTGAAATGGCTATTCCACGTCATGGACACTCAGTTTGTTATTTAGGTGAGTAGTTGTGCCTTTCTCTGTCATATAGCTTTCAAAATTTGAAATTTCAATGGAGATACACACTATTTCCCTAGGAACTTTTTTAAGTAGGGCAGTTTTAAACTCTTACTACTGCTGATGTGGAGTTGTTTCTCAAATAAAATTAAATTACTCAATAATTGGATTGCATTTTGCAAAAAGGAACCAAGGGCATTTCAATGTCGCTGAGATTGTGCAACTTTGTTTGCCTTGCAGATATACACAGATTATCTGAACAAATTTTATCTTTACTCCCAATAAACCATAACTTAAAGACGAAAATTACCTTTGTAAATTTAATTTTTTCATGATTTCAGTGATTTTATTGAATAAATATAAGATACACAATCTTGGAAAGATTGGAATACTCTTGGTTCCTTTTTGCAAAATGCAATCAAATTTTGATGAGCACACTAGTCAAGTTGGAGTTCCTTCCCTCACTGTTAAGCCATAAAGTGAAGCATTTTTTATTTTACAGGGAAAATTATTTTTGGTTCAGACAAGTCATCTACCTTCAATAATTCTGTTAAGCTATTTGTATCAGACCTTTAAAGGGTAGCCATCGTGTAGTGCAATTTCTAAAGAAAGGAAAAGAAAAGGAAAGGGAACAACAAAAATAATCACTCTCTTGAAATTTCTCTTGTAGAGTTGTCAAACTCGAGTGGCTCATCCGAAATGATTGAAGCAGATCGTGACATTCTTTAATATTATGTTTCATATTTTAGGCTCTCAAATTTTGATCCTTGGCGGAGTCACAACAACCCGTATGTGCGCTTTGAGCAATGTTGAAAGCTGGTGTCCCCAAAGCTCAGTTTGGATCGGTGGCTTTGCAAACTTGCCAGGAGCTCTCTCTGGACATGGTTCCGTGACCTTGCCACCAGCCTCTATTGTATGAAATTATTTTTAAGTTTTACATTTTATTTAGCTCCCAATTTTTGAAGAGGGCTAAAAAAAGTAACAAGTTTGGGTAGATTGATAAAAGGGACTGAAGGATAGTCAGAAGTGGAATCGTTTCTTGATTGGCTGTAGGCAGCTTTATGTCACTGCAGCATCCTTCCGCATTCCGCTCCGTTGCTCTATTCCCTTTCTTGCCATACTAAACAGTCTTCAGTGTGGAGGGCAACGGTGAACCGCCCATAGTGATGTAAGAAGGTGACATCTCTTTTGCTCCTATCTAGGTCAGTCTTTCAAACACATCGAATCAGAAGTATTTTTTTAGTTTATTGACATACTTCCTAGATTTGAACTCAACATCAATATTTAGGCGGTTGACCCCTGTGAGTAACTCGTTAATTTAACTGTTTAACAACAGTATAATTTAAGATTCTTGAATCCTAGACTGATCAATTCTGTACTCTGGTATAAAATTATAGCACCGCTAGGAATTAAAAGCAATTAGGCAGTAAAATTAATGATTTTCTAATTAAAGGCTTACATACTTTTGCATACCTTGGTTTGCGCTCACTCTACTCCATGTATATCATAAAATATTCTTGTTGACATATTGTTGTACGGTGTACCCTTGTTCAGTCTCATATTTCTTTGTCTTTTGATCTTTCCGTTTTTTAATGCTAAGCTCATGAGTTTTAGCACTTTTAAATGGCTGAATGATGTGAAAAACTGAACCTTTTTCACTTTTCCCTAATCTATTATAATCAGAAGTTATATTATCACCAGGTCTATTATAGAATTAGCCGATTTGAAAACTGGGTTAATTATTATTATTACTTACAATCCAAGGGAAGTTGTTCCTAGGTCTCGATACTGTTACTTTTGTCTAAGTATTGCGCCAACATGATTCTTATAATTTATTCATACTTTAAAATAATTAATCTGTGCTTTTCATACTTTCTATTTTACTTGTTCTTGTAAAAAGTTCAATAAAACTGTCTTTCAAATTCAAATCATTACTTTTTTATTTGCATAGCAAAGTTAATTTTTCCTAGATTTTGAAAAACAAAAGAAAGATATTGACCAATTGAATGACAAAGATAAGAGATGATTCATAAAGTTTTAACCTGAGGTTTTTTTCTCTCTCCCTAAGATATAGATACATGTATTTGGCAATGCCAAACTTCCAGTCTCAGTCCCAGTGGGGAAGTCTGAAAGTTCATGAGACATGTGCACCCAAAAAATCTTCCGGCATAAAACAGCATCAAGCTATGCAACATTTAGCATTTGGTAATGTGTAATTATACGTTAATTTTTTTATAAATCTTATGCATGAATGATATTGATTTATGATGCGTCTAGATACAACGTATGTCTAATGCATTTCCATAGTTGACATGAAATGGAGAATAAAAGAGACAACAGGAGAAGGAAAATATGATTTTGTGCGAAACATGCAAGATGTCCTTCCTATATATGCTAGCATATGCCAGGCTCAAATGTTGTCAGCCAATGTCATGTTACACCGCGCATCTATCAAAAAAACCAGAGCAGTTTTATCAGATTGAAGATGGAATAATATTTGAACCTTTGTAGGCAAAGGCTATAAACATAAGTTAGTCCCATGTATCTGCTTGTCCTCAATTCATATGTATGCAAAAAATCAGAATACTTGAGATCTGTCTTTTACATTACTTTTATAATCAAGTTTACTTGTTTTTACAAGTTGTTGTTTTTACTTGCTGTCACAAGTTTTACTTTTATACTGCAATTTCTAGCAATGAGATCTCAATATACTCAACATTTTTTTCAACACTGTTTTTCTTTCCATCAATATTGCTTCATTTGGTGCTGCACTCACAATCAGAAGTTTTTCAAAAGAAGGATCCGAAACCAGAATAATTTGCTAAGGGGTCTAGTTTTTGGATACAAATTGTCCAGGTTGTTAAAAAAAAATGCCTTTTTGCAGAAAAATATTTCAATTAAAGGAGGAGGTTAGTCTCTGCCTGACAATATTTCAATCTTAAAGAAGGGTATCTCCGTCGCCAGCCGTAGTATTATGACAGATATTGCTAGATTATACCGCTTTAAGCACTGTTCCATGTTGCTTTGTGGGAGTTCAAATGCTGTAGCCACAATACCTATGACTAAAAATCACCATGAACCTTAAGATTCTGCCTACACCAAATTTCTCAAAAATGTCGGAAATCATGAAAAGATAACCAACGTCAATTGCAAATGTGTTAAGATTTCCCCTTCAAAAAAATCAAACAGTACAATAATTGTATTGCCTTTAGCAAAAAGAAACCAGCGCAATGACAGTGTTTTCGAAATCGTGCAACTTCTCCTTTCCTTTTAAAAATACTTAAAATATGTAATGATTAAAATTTGCGCAATGGACCACTAGACAAGGTACGAATGTAAGCATTCTGATACCTATATGTTTCTTAACCAGAATTTCACGTAGAACACGATTTGCGCAACGGAAATTACTGAAACCAACTCCTAACGGAGATATCAACATTTTTATTTCACATTGGTTACGAGGAATTTGAACTGCCCGCTCGCAAGGAACTCAAAGCTCTACGTGAGTCAAATCGCGCACTACAACGGTTTCAGCAAGCTTCTCAATCGAGCAATGTTCATTTCCCACCATGTGTTTTTCAAACTATGAGTAATTTGCTATAGCTGAGCCAAAGCGTCAAGATTGAGGTTGCCAGATTTTTTTATCGCAGAGACGTTCATGATAACGTTTAGCGCGCGATGTGAATCACGTAGAGCATTGAGTTTTCATGAGCGGGTGGTTTCAATTTACGCACTAAGAATCATTAAATATCTTTGGGAGGAGTTGATTTCGGTGATTTTTTTTTGTGCGCATCGTGTTTTACGTGAAATTTTGGTAAAGACACATGTATCCGAATGCTGAAATTTGTACCTTGTCTAGTGGTCCATTAGATTCTTTTAAAATTATCAATTTTTTGGTGGGAAGCCAAAACTATTTGCTATTCTAGGAGATTTTTTAGGTAATTATCAAGAGAGCAACATTTTTACATCTCTGTAAACGCGCTGGTTCCTTTTTGCTAAATGCGATCCTTCTTCAAAAAGTCCGACAATTTGAAACTCGCGCTTTCGGCTCGCTGCTCCAGAGACTTGCTGTGATTGGCTGATTGCCAACAGCTGATAAACGGCCATTGTTATTGTTTTTATCGAGAGACAACAACAACAACGAGATTACTTGATAGATAAGGAGAAAATTGAAATTGTACTTGTGGCGTCATGATTTAGGGTTTTAGCGATGAAAGTCTACAATTATTTACTTTCTTCAGTCTTTAACAGTGTTCTCGACTAAGCAAGTAAAGTTTTTCACCAAGTGTAAATCTGTTTTGCCTCTATTTATTTCAAGAAAGTCAGAGTCTTAGTGCCTCCATCCTGTAGTGCAGCTCCCACCTTATGTGATATCAGTTCTCCATCCATAACCATAAGTTTCTTCTGTTTTTGATTTTGCCGATCAGACAACTACTCAAAATGTCAGGTGTTTCGCTACTCAAGGAAGATATTGAACTCGGTGAAGACACCATTACAAATGATTTTTATTATAAGAACAATGTCAGCAATGCTAGTGTCAACGTCCGCCTCGGTAAGTTAGAAGCTTGATTCTTTCGTAATAGTCGCATAGCTGTATTCCTACAAATTTTATCTATTGAATTAAGGAAGTATAGTTTGCAAAATAATCTCTATCGTAGCTTACGTCGTAGCTTCATTTTTCTGTTCAATATTGCCACAATCTTGAGGTTAAGTCATCATTACGCCTTGGCACTTATATTTTTTATATATTTCGTTGAATTCCCACCTTAGCAAGTGATAAATAGAGGGTATTCTCTCAGGTACATGGCATTGTTAGTTTAGGTACTAAGCCCAATTTATACCATACAACTTATCATTCAACTTTTGAATGCAACTTGTTGTAATGATCAGTTTGATAGTGTAATCAGGGATTTGAAGCGCCTCATGAGGTTATACCCTACAACATAGACTCGCAGCTTCAGCATTAATGCTGTATGCCCAGGTAGCGGGCATGCGGCGCCACGCCTTAAGCGCGCAACCTGCAGGTCCCGGCTTTAAGCATCGATGCCCAATGCTGACAAGTCAGCGGGGCCAGCATTAAGCGCTGATGCCAAGATTTGATGCTGCGTAAGGGACCAAAATGCGCTTCACCTTTTGATGCTGTAGCCTCGGCTCTTGGTCCGATGCTGCACCAATTTCTGGTCCTGTGAGCCAGCCTCATCACCGACAGGGCTGTCCCAGAAGACTGCTGGGGTAAGTATGCGCCCCTTGGACATGGCGATGAATTAGCGGAATACCCCTTTTTCTATGTTTCTCATTGGCCCGGCGGCCCATGCCTTGCCGGGAAGTACGAAGAAGTGGACGCCGCGGAATTAGTGTTGAAAAACAGCCTGGTGCGATTAGCCGCCCGGCGCTGGCGTCTGACGTATCTGAATGAGTGTTGGCTTCGCCAGGTTAAGCCGCCTCGCAGGCCAGTGCGATCCTTCAGCGCACTATCCGATGTAGCATCGAAGTCCGCGCCGAATACCTGCCTCGCACGGTAATGCTGCTCCGTTTATGGTTCTGCCTCAAACCTCAGCTCTAAATCCCTGAGTGTAATACTTTCGCTGAAATCTGTTTATATTTTTAAACAAATATTAGAATATTCCAGTTTTGCAGAAGTTGTATATCCATTGCTTTTCTTCAAAGTGATTAGAGTACTATTTTTTATGTTTTAGGATTTTTACGGAAAGTCTACAGTTTGCTGTTAATCCAGCTTCTAGCCACAATTTCTGTCGGTGTTGCCTTTACCTTCAATGCAAAAATCAGACTGTATGTCCACAACAAGTAAGTGCTCACAATCCATTTTCGAAGACCAATCTCCTGTGAGGCCATCAAAAAATTATGCAAACTTCTGCGAAACCAGGGAAGTTTTTAATGACACCAAGATGAATATTTTCCCACGTGCAGAAGTTCTTGTCACTTACTTGAATCAAGAAATGAATACTTGACCATGTTATTCAGGCTATTGTATTGTGACAGAGATAAAATCAATGCCCCACACACTTTCTACAGCATTCCATTACATTGTGTCCATCCTCTCGTTCTATGCCTCTGAGTGCAAGAAGTGCCAAGTTTTTACCCCTGGGCTGCACCAATAGAAAATTTGATAGGTATTGTAAATTTTATTAAAGCAATAATTCACCTAAATTTTCTGAAATCCATGCAGACTTTAAGTCGCAAACCTTGTGTTTGTGTAACCTTGGATGATATCTAATTATCATATTTTTGTTTCATTTTAGTGACTGGTTGGTCTCATTGACATTTTTGTTCGCTGTTATTATTTTGATTGCTCTACACATCAATCGAAAGTCTCATCCTTTGAATTTAATTCTTCTAGCAGCATTTGTAAGTTTTCTTTATTCTGTTTTTTGTATCATTAATCTTTAATTATCATGGAATGGGTTTCTAGACATGATATGGATTGAAGCAATATGCAACATGTTTTCTCTTCACGATTTTTCAAGGAAAAATAATTACACAGTGGGAAGTCTGGATATCAATTCCTAAACAAGATGTAAATTTACACAATAAACATTGGTTAAATGGCAAAAATATAAATGACTTCTTTTGTATAATCGAATGTCTCTATGATCTGTGTCAAAAGTACTTGTTCATACCTCGTTCAGGAGTTGATTTTCCGACTTCTCCTTGTGTGATTCGGTTTCTACATTAGATTTTGAAGAGCAAATGAGGAAAAGACAAATCGAAAAGATTGTCAAAACTATAATCATTAGTTGAAAACTGGTCTGCTGATCTCTAATGAGCTCACTAAATTCTTTACGCTTTTTTTGGGCACTCCATAATTGATTCCGTTTTTTAAACCGAATTCAAAGAAGGAGGCGCTATGCCCTGTGAATATGGCTCATGGTACGTTATGATTAAACTTGAATTAGTTGTCAGTCAGCTTATCCAAAACTTAAAGCTAAAACATAAATCCATTTATATCATAAAAAATCAAGATTTTTGTACTTGAAGAATGCAATGTTTTCTGTACAATTCCCTCCAAGTTGTCTCTCCATTTTAGATATTTGAATCTCTAGAAATGGAAGTTCTCTTCAAAGTTGAGCAAAAGATATTATAGGTATTAGAAGAAAATTTAATGGAAGCTTGTTCAAAAATTTAGAGAATTTGACTATGAAGAGCTAATGGAAATCCTGCAAGACCAATCTTTACAAGTCAGTCGTGATGAATGAGGATGAATCCTGAGACATCACTGTACGTTAAGCAAAGGGTCCTGTGCACAGGAGGTTTAAATATCATGCATTTTTTATGAAATCATCTCAGCAAGAGCGAATTAATCTTATGAGCCACAAGTAGGCAGGGGAGCTAATCCCATAAAAATGACCAGTGACTTACCTGTGTGGATTGGTTAATTTACTTTTATTACTTATTTTTTATGAATAAAGAATGCCTTTTCTTAATGAATGATTTAGTAATAAAATATCGACGGTGAAAGTCGGCAATCACATAACTCGTTTGCGGTGTCTGAAAATCTCCGCCTCTACGTCATTTTTTTAAAGGAGAACAAATTGATATTATTTCTTGAAGTTTTTGCAGAATTTTCTTCGCATTGAGAAGAAAAATCATGACAGTTTTAACGAATTGCCGTTCAGTAGTTTTCCATTTAAAAAATAAAGTATGACAGGAAGTCTGCGACGTCGCAAACCGAGTTATGTGATTGCCGACTTTCACCGTCGATATTTACTTTTCTCACAAGGAGCAATGAGCAATGGCTATTTAAACCTCCGTGTGAAATTTGCTTAGTTCACCTGAGTTCTTGACTGAGATATGAAGTCTTAAACTTTTATATTCAAGTCTTGTTTAACATTAAAACGGATCGAAGTGCTGAAAAAATATGAATTTCCTTTTGCACATCATTTGAAATGGATCTGTAAAAATAAGTCCTTGCTATTGTTATCATATAATTTATGAGATCTTCTTTTTATGTCATCAGACTGTTGTTGAAGCTACAACTCTATCTGTTGTGATAACGTTTTATGACCTGCAAGTTGTGTTGCAAGCCCTGGTTTTGACTTTTGTTGTCGTAACGAGTTTGACGGCATTCACATTCCAAACCAAGAGAGACTTTTCAGCTATTGGACTTGGGTGAGTCTTCCTCAAATCTCGTACTGTATCCAGAAAAAAGTAAAAATAATCACACAAAATATGGTTAAACATGAGAGATCTAAGTTCTCCAAGATTCATGATTTTCAACCATATGGAACCCAACTTTTTTTAAGCGGAAGGGTCTCTTAGATCACACCGGTCTACACAAAGTAAAATGTAGGGCATGCAATTAGTAATCCATATGTGTTTCTTGGCGCTAAGGCTGAAAATGACGTTTGTTTTCCTTCATCACCTATCAATTTTCAACAAAATTTGAACATTTTCTGGAGGTTTTGCTTGTTCCAGGCTCATCAATCATAAACCTAGACTTCCCCGTTGAATTAATGAAATTTAATAGTTATCAATGGAAGTAACATTCTTCAGATCCACCCGGTGTGGTGGATGAAAAAAAATTCATCCGGAACTTAGAACGTTGCAATTTAAAGCTATCAAGGCAGAAGTTCAGAATTCAAATTAAATACACAACCACGATGTTTTGGTTTGAACTCAAGCTTTGAACCTTCAAGTAATATTAACTCGTTGCCTGTTTACTAATTTTAGCTTTAAACAGGTACATCTTACTTTAAAGTTGTTTTCTAAACAGGTCATGCAAACCACTTTTTACATGAATATTTGAAGAGAAATCACGTTACAAAATACTTCATGTCTCATTTTGTCTATTTAATAACATCACACTTGTATTGTTCTATTGAATCATGTTGTGTCTTTCAGATTATTTGCCGCTTTATTGATCCTGGTTATTGCCTCCTTCCTACAACTAATCTTGGGCAGCACGTTCCTAGAATTCCTCATCGCTGCTGGAGGAGCTTTACTGTTTTCTCTATTCATCATTTATGACACTCAGGTATCATACATCAGCCACTTATATATTTGAATTGATGTACGCATTTAGGACCCGTCCGTATCCAATCGTTTGAAGAAAGACCTATGTGTAATAGTTTAAGTCTTTTAACATTCATTAAATGGAGATACATACGAAATTTGAGAACAAGAAAGACAAGAGCCAAAAATAAGGAGAATCAGCAAAAACCATTTAAGAATTCATTCACTTATCCATCGCCAACCTCTTCTTGTGAAATCGTTCCTAACAAGCGGAATAACAGTCAAATAACGGTGAGATTTGAATGCTTTGACGCAATTTAAACGCAATGATTCAAATCTAGTTCTTTAATTGGTTTAGTATGTAACTAGTACTCAACAGTCAGTTCCTTGAAAGTCTAGCAGGCGGATTCTCCATTTCACAGCAAAAAGCCAAAAATGCGCTATTGAATAGACCAGTTGTTAGGACTTCTGCAACCTGGAGCAACCAAAGAAAAAATAGTCATTATGATCATTTTTGCATTCAGTGAATATCTTTAACTTTATAGTCAGGTTTTTCAATCCTCTTGGAGGTCAGTCCAGTTTCTTTAGTGCAGTTACTGCTACTACACCACTTAGTAAAACAGTCGCCTCTAAAAATGCTGAAGAAAGGCGTCCTGTCTATAGAAGGCCACCATCCCCAGCAATTTTACCGCTTGTCTTCAAATTTGTGCCAGTACTTAAGCATAGAATAGCCGCAAAACCAGCCTCTCTATGACAAAGTTTAGGCAGAAGCCCTGGGTACCTAAAAAAAATGTTCAAGTTCCAATCATACAAACTGGATGATGTTTGCTCTTATCTAGGTTTTGCTACAGAGATATTGGGGAAGAAACCCCTGAAATTTGCATCTGGATGGGATACTATATCTTTTTCCCCCTAAAATCTAGCAAAACATTAAATTAGAATATCTATTGTTCATTTTTTTCATCATTTGATCAAAAATAATAAGCGATTTTTTGTCTCAAAGTAAAGTCTCTTTCTCCCATCATACTGCGAAAATTTGGTAAAACAAAGATTATTTTGATCGCATTTAGCTAGAAGGAACCAGCGTGATTACGGTGTTGTAAAAATATTACTTCTTCATAATTATCTAAAAAATCTCCAAAAATTGCAAATAGTTTTTGCTTCTCACCAAAAAATTATTAATTTTAAAGGAAAATAATTCAGTAAATTCTAATACTGTACGTACATTGAGTATTTTTAAAAGTAAAGAAGAAGTTGAACGATTTTGAAAACTCTGTAATCGCGCTACTTCCTTTTTGCTAAATGCCATCCTTTTGATTTCCTCAGAGAATAAGTGAAATGGAAGTAATCAAAACAAATGAACAAATAAAAAATGAAGAGGAAAAAAATAATGGTGGAAATTCTGACGGAAAACTAACACGGTGGGAAAAATCACTAGCTTCGCTCCTCACTCATGTTGCTCTCATTTTTCTTTCAGATGATGATGACTAAAGTGTCTCCTGAAGAGTACATCCTTGCAACAATCAACCTCTACCTCGACATTATTAATTTGTTCATGCATTTGCTTCACCTGCTGGAAGTCATCCGTCGTTGATTCCTCTTCATGCAGTCCGCACTGTGATCCAGTGCACTTTTTCAGCATATATCATCGCACAAAGGTCCTTAGAACTTATTGCACTACCCCAGAAAGATAAGTTTGTTTCCTATTTTCTTGTTTGAGGTATGTATTACAGCTTTCGCACTTTGTTATTGCCTGAATTGAAGAGTTCATGTCACTGTTATCTAACAGTATTTTTTACTCCTTTGCAAAGAAGTGTTTTGATATTTAGCCTTTACAAAATCATTTATCCACTAAAGTACTTTGTTACCTTATAATTTGATGCATTAATGTATCCAAAAAGATACAATCATTGTTGCCTTGAATTGATCATAAATTTTAAGAATATATTTTTTCATTAAAAATTCGTCTATTTATTTTCCCTCTAAGCCGTGCGCTTTTATGTAGATTGGGAGTAAAATTTCTGCATAAGTATTGCAATTTCATTTAAAAGTTGAGAAAGGCTAAAAATGGTTGGAAGCACCGATGACAGACTGCCTGTACAAAACGTTTTTTGCCATATAAAGTTGTGAAAGTTGTCACATGTGAGTTATTAGCCATTTTTAATATTCCTTAAATTTTAAATTGAAGAGACTGAGGTGTACTTATTGGAACACAATTCGAGGCTGAGGAGTAAATTTAACAATGATGAAAACTTTGTGCAGGGAAATGAATTGTAAACTACTGTTTCCTATCTTAAAGTTGAGCAAGCATATCAAAACATATTAAACACAGCAAGATCGAAGACAGCAGGATTGAGCACCTACCTACTTTGTTTACGGTGTCACAGAGTCACTCCTGACATTTTATTTGACCAAAAGAGGACGAACGAACATTATTGCTTGTGTTGCTTGTGCATTATTGCAATATTGAAACAAATATAAAATTCAAAGAATAAGAGAAAGCAAGACTGTACTGAATGGAACATAGAGTTTAAGGTTTGTAGTTTGAAAAATACTGAAATTCAAGTGTATATTAAAGCTTTTAATGCAAGTCCTTACTGTGAAGAATGGTGCTGCACATCTACATATGTCAAAGATATCAAGACAAACCAAGAGATAAAATTATTGGAGCATTTTACAAGTGACCACATCAAATAAAGATAATGTTAGAGATAATATCAGATGGAGTTGAATAAATGTAACAAAGGACATCATTGAATGAACAAGACTAGCTCTCTCTGTCCTGTCGATCAAGTTACCTTTCAAGTTCTATGCTTCATATCAAGTTTATATGCAGCACAGATGTAATTACGTAAAATTTAATTTTGTAATTTAAAGAAGAACCCCTAAAATGATTTAAAATTCAAGTTAAGGTGGAAAAGGGCCGAGAAATAAAATGATCTTCAGATTTAAAAAAAATACAAGATTCTTGACACTTTGTAATGGATACACTTGTTTTTCTGGTTCACTTTTGAATTGTCTGACCACACTTAGTAAATGCTAGTAGGAAGATTTACACATCTCAGAAAATTTTCGAAAACGGCCGTTTCTGGGCTTAGGAGGCCTCGGGGGATTTAGGACTTTACGCAGATTCCACGCCTCGAACTACAAGGGGTTGGTCGACTATCTTGAATCTTTCTTTCCCGTGCAAAATCAAGAAAAAGTGCCGGCGATTGACGCACACAAAATCTCATCTTACTCGATATCCTAATCGAAAAGGTCATCTGTAAAGAAACGGTATGAAAATTGTTACCACAATAATTCGTAGGAATTTAGCATGCAGGGATTAATAAAAGCGTCTTCGATGAATCGAATAGGCACACCAAGCTTGCGGAAGGTCGAATAGTTGTATCACGCCCTACTGCACAGTAATAAGATTTGGTTTTGTAAATCGTAAAATTAATAGCTGTCCAGCTAAGGAAAAACGTCGTATGAGCCGTTAGACGTTGCCATATTTCCTTTTATAAAAAATGAATTTACTTAGAAAATAGTGAATATTTTTCTTCCGATTTTTCTGACAGTTTTGGTTGCAATTTAATCTGGAATAGCTGAAAAGTCTAAGAAAAAATACGTATGCTTTTCCTCTAAAACAAAACATATTATCGGAGGAAATTTGGCAACTCTTGAATGTTTATACGGCGTTTTTCCATAGCACAGCAGTTTGGTTGATGTTTCCGGCAGTTGAAACTCTAATCAACTATAATCAATTGATTTATTTTTCTATAATTTATCCAGACCAAATAGTAAGTACAATTTTCCATAAAGTTTACAAAAAAACATTGATTTTCCAAGCGGCACAGAAATTCTTTGAGAAAATTTGGCAACTTGAAGATGGCAACGTAGCAAGATGTAGGTTACATGAGGGGCTTGGAAGACAAGGCCCATAAGTGCAGTTTTTGCTATTTCAAGAAATACATATTTAAAGTTTCAAAATTACATAGAGCCTTATGGCAGAAAGGAGTTTGAACCCACTTTTTGATGCTTTAAAGTTGGATTTTAATTGTGAATTTGTCTCCATGAGTTCGCGGTTTTGCGTGATCAGCGAATAAGGGGGTGAATGAGGGTAGAATGCTCTATACCTATTCTTCAATTTCATCTTCGGGGTTTCTTTCATCTGGTCTCTTTTTATCTCTATTAGTTTTTTAACTTATTTTGTTCCTAGTCCGAGTTTATATTATCAGGCCTGCTTTTCTTTTGCGTGTTGCCTTTCCCCTAATTGAGGGGGCTGATGTCATATAAAATCATGATGCGCAATTGAATTATAAATTGCAAATTTTCTTTGCACTGTAGATTGCTTATCTTTCTGATACGTGGAACCATTTTATTCATCGTTCTAGATTTACATTATTTGACCAAATGATGGAAAATAATTGCGAGTTCATGGACAAAAATTTACTGCGTTTTGTTGTAAAATGCTATTTCTCAAGTAGCACAGTGAAACGATAATATTGAAATGAAATCGCAATTTGATTTCAACAAAATTGTAATTTTTTTACCATTAAATCGTAAATTTTTACATAATTTAGTCGATTTATGCCGGTTTTAAAAAATTAATGAAATGAGCTCCATGTGTCCGAATGATAGACAATATGCAATGCAATGAAAAATCGCAACTTATTTCAATTTTATTGCAATAAGTTTCAATAAATTCAAATAGGAGCTAGGCAACATACACAACATTCATTGTCAGTGGCATTGCAATATTCTTACTATGTCATTGCTCATTGCTACCTACTTACTGCAATCTGTGCTACTTGGGTCAGGAAAATCAAAACGTTCGGCTCCGAACACTTTACATGTGTGAACATCTTATCAATGTAGTCATTTTTTGCCCCCACACATTTTGTTCCTACGGCCAAAGGAAATCAAACTTGTTTTAGGGCGGTTTCACGATAACTGGAATAGTTTTATTGCCGTAATAGATAACACATTTTTCGGTCATATTTTTAGCAGTAATGATAATCACTCGAATTTGTTTGCATTTATCTACACATGGTTACATGTTATAACGCTTCTCAAAGATTTCGCGCTCTAATTTTCAATTTTAATGTATAAATGATCGAAAATGTGTTGTTTGTTACGCTGACTTTTTACCGCGTAACAGACAGCACATTTTCGGAATTTACATAATATTAATTGAGAAGTAGAGCAATAAATCATTAGAAAGCGTTATAATGCGTAACCCTTTGAAGATTAATGCGAAACAATTCGAGTGATTATCATTTCTACTAAAAATGAATCAGTGAGTTCGAAAACACACCAACTCGGAAAAAAAAATTGTTCAGGAAACACCTAAAACTGCGCAGCGGGCAAAGAAGTTAGTTTAAGAAAAACCTTTTTGGTGTCAAAGGACAAGTACTTAGAGACTTTGTAAAGCACCAAGTTGAAATCCACCATGTTTGATGGCATAGAATTAAGCGTTTAAAAGTTTCCGAGTTGGTGTGTTTTCGTTCTCACCGACTTTCAGATGCTAATTTTTCATGGTCTGCCCTGAAAAATTTATATTTTTTGATCTGAATAACGCTTGAATATTTATATAACTTGTTGGTACAAGGTATACTGAACCGAAAAAAGAAAACCGCAAACTCGGATGGTCACCCGTTTCCCTTGAAATGGCCAAAAATTGGTATTTCCAATGAAATACTTCGATTCTTCCCTTTTCCCGTCGCTGTTTCGAGCACTTCCGATTGCAATTTCGAAATTTTCTTTTGCGCGCAGATGCTTCTATCCATAAGTGTTAGGTACTAAATCGTAAAAAAGTGAAAATCGAAAAAACCCGAGTTGGTGTGTTTTTGAACTCACTGATTCAAATTTGTTGTCTGTTACGGCGACTAAACTATTCCAGTTATGCTGAAACCACCCTTTAGACCTTCCGCCTGCGTACTGGTAGGTAAGCCAGTAGCAAGAGTGTTTTCCCGCCGAAAATGCTGTCCAGATAAATGGCACGAATCAAAAGTCTCGTCAAAATGCAAGTTTGAATCGGTGGTTACGCCTTGCTTCCCATGCTCCGAGAGCATAATAATGTGAGCTACGTTTGAAAAATAGAGACAAGCATTTGATTTATTCGATTTCCACTTCAACAGCACACAATCACAATAAATCATCATGCTCCTTCCGTCTTTTTTTTTACGAGCACGCCGTCAGTAAGGTTGCCAGAGTTGTGGTCAATAATGAGAATTTCCGTTTGAAATACCGGCTTTTGACCGCTCCTGGGAAAAGGTGCTTTAATTTTAGTCAATGTGTACCAGTGTTCGAAACTCACTGCACAAAAGTGCAATGATAAACTGCAAATGGTGGGTTAGAAACGTAGTTAGAAACATTCCAAATATGGCCAATCGGTGGATGCAACTTAATGAACTTCGGTGTGACGTTGGGTTGCATCGCTAAATTTGAAGGCCAAATAGAAGCGATTTTGTTTTCAAAAGAGGCGGCGCAGCGCGCCGCTCCAAACTTCGCTCCCTGTGTCTATGTATTAATTAACTATTAGCCTCACATGGAAGTGAAACAAGGACGATGTTTGCCTTTAGATTTACGCATTGCCGATTTGTTTCTATGTAAGTTTATAAAGCGATGCAAATGTGTGTTTTCCGAGTAGGTAACTATTCGCGCTTCCCGGTAGGTTGGTTGCCTATGCGAAAAATTGAAGGCGAACCGGTGAACCCTGAGTAGACGAAATCGCTTGAAATTGATTCATCGATACACTACTCAAGAGGAGTTTTGTGTGGAAATCTCAACATCCGATTGTTCGACTCAACTTAACAAAAATCTTTTCGCAGGAATTTTTTCCTGCAGGAAAGATCCTTTTTTCTAAGGACGGTCACGTTTAAATCGATCATTCTCTAAAGATGCAAGTACTAGAAATGAAAATCCGAGAAGGACTGTTTTAATCGATTCCTTTTAA